AGTGGCCCTACCATTTACTTCTTCTTCCTTTTGCTGCGGACATACCCACAAAAGCCCTTTTTATTGTTATTAACCTCTCTAGCAAGCCTGAGTTCATTCTGCACTTTAGCTTTCTGACTTTACCCCTACATGTGCTAGCTATCTGTTTGAATTCCTCTTTGGTGATTTCCCAATTTTTCCATTTCTTATACATGTTCTGTTTAAAACTTAGTTCAGTTGAAAGTTCCTTAGTCATCCATCCTGGTTTCTTGAGGCATCTTCCATTTTTCTTCCTCATTGGAACTGTTTGAAATTGCGTCTTCAGTATCGCCCTTTTGAGAAACTCCCATCCCTTGAACTCCTTTCTCTTTTAGTATTCCTGGCCACGGGATCACCCCTAGTATTTCTCTAAGTTTACTAAAATCAGCTTTCCTAAAGTCTAGAATGTGTTCTGACTATGCTTGGCTTCTCCTTTCCACTGTATAATAAACTCCAGGAGAACATGATCACTCGCACCTAAGGATCCAACCACTTGCACCCCATTAATTGAGATCAGAATGAGCTCAGGTTTAAAAAACAGATTAAAACCAATGAAAAATATTTTCCCCAGCTATGTTTAGAGCAAGAGAAAGAACAAGGAAGCAGTAGGTCTGCTGCATGGAGAAAACAGAGAAATATTCATAGGTGAAAGAGAGACAGTGGAACTCCTCCACATCTAATTTACCTCTGTTTCCTCAACATGGAAAATAGTACTCAACCTGCAGAAAATAGAATACATGATGCAGTGAGGGCACCGCTGCCCAGAACATGTAAAGAAGTGATACAGAAAGACCCAGCTACTTAAATCAGGTTTCCAGGGCAAGAACTGCATTCAGGGTACTAAAGAAACTTGTAGTTGTGCTCTCAGACCTTCTAATCAGAATGTTTCAGGTTTTTTTTTTTAAAGAACTGGGGACAAAGCTGCAGAAACATGCAAATCTTGCCCCCAGCTTCAAACAGGGAAGAAAACAGGACCAAGAATGTAACAACCTATTACCTTAACATCAATACCAGGAGAGGTTCTAGAACAAAGCATTAAACAGTGGACCTGTGAGCACTTAGAAAATAATTACTAAGAGTCAATATTTTTCTCAAACCAAGTCATGCCAGACTAATCTCATTTCTCTCTCTCTCTCTCTTATTCACAGTGTCACAAGCTTGGTAAATTAAAGGAATTATGTAGATGGTGTGAATCTTGATTACAGTAAGGCTTTTGATAAAGTCCCCCATGATATTCCTGGAGACAAAGTTGTAAAAGGTTGTAAAATGTGAGCGAGAGAATAATATTGTTAGGTGAATCTGTAGCTGGCTGAGGTAATAAGTCCAAATACTTGCCAAATGTTCATTTTTAACCTGGAGTCAAGTAACATGTGGGACTCTGCAGCATTCTGTCCTGGTCCAGTGTTGTTCCACATAATTAGAAATAACTTGGATGTATGAATTCCTGGCACACACATCAAGATAGAATCAGGATTCAAAATTACCCTGAGAGAATGCACAGCAGGGCCAATACTGATAGAAAGAATTTCAGTTGAGATAAATGAGAAGTACTACATTACTGATGCACAAATAAAAATTGATGACACCTGTCTTGACCAGATTAAAGGACGTCAAACTTTTAATTTGGCCAGATATCACCTAGAGTGCTGTATTCACTTGCAGGCAATTCGTGAAATGGCTCCCTTCTGGAGTTATGGGGGAGTGATCACATCAGACTGGTAATGCTCTACCCTCCTTCTAGGGGCCCATGGTGGAGACCAGTCTTGGATTAAGGGAGGTTCAGGTGGGAGCAGGTACTCATGGACTGGTTGGTCTTGCATTGAGGAGGCTCAGATGGTGAAAGGGGCTTCCAGATTGGTCATTCTTAGATTGAGGGATGCTAAAACAGTGAAGGGCTTTCCCAGACCAAGCTAGGGTCCACTGGAGATAGGGGGAAACAAACCAAAAGCAGAGCTGTGGACCTTTGGTGATATGTGCTACTGATGCTCATTTGAGGGTTCGCTGGTGTCAGTATGCAATATAAATAGTTTCTCTTTTACTAGTTGGTCAATTAACCAAACTAAGTATTTTGCCCAGGACAACATGGAGCACAGCAGTGTAGAATCAGCTAACTTGGGCTAGGACTCCAACTCTGTTGGTTTCTCATTGTCCTTCCTGCACTTTTTCTTAGGAGTCACTTCTTCTATCAGTCCACTTTTCACATGGGATTTACCAGACTTAGTAACCACACCCAAAGAACTTTCTGGAGTAGGTGGAACTTGTTCCATTTCTCGATCTGATGTATGGACTGAAAAGTCTGACCAAGAGGGTGACTGGACTAAAGAGTCTGCAGGTTGTCAGGGGGATAATCGAAAGAAGTGTGAGGACTGAGAGAATTTTCCATGACAGCCTTAAAGAATGATAAAGCCTTACAGATGGAATCAGAGGCCACATACAGAGGACAATTTTGAGCCACAATATGGGCAACCTTCAAAGAGATGGAGTTTAAGATAGAACAGTTGGTTCCAGAGCCCCTGTGGTGTGAAGTCCCTGCAAACTGAGTAGGAACAAACCAAATGATCCACTTCTAGGCAGAAAGGGCACTGGAAATGGCCAATGGATATAGACATCTTCTTGAACATAAGGTGCAGTTTTTAAAAAGTGCTTTTGAGGCTAGGTACAGGGGAGGACTCTTTGATCATGAGCAGCCAAAAGTGGGGGGGGGGGGGAAATAGCAGAAAGGATAGAATAATAACACTAATTTTTTAAACAGAAATATTAGAGGAAAGAACAAAAGAATAGAAAAGGAAGCTACTAGCCAAAGAAGCAATCTGCAATAGGTACTCAATGATGGACAAAAAGGAAGTGAGGGGAGAGTAGTTTTGGGGTGAAGGTTTTGGGGTGAAGGGGTGGGGTTTTCACCAAAGCTACTAGGTCTGGAACACTCTGTGGATGTTGGGCTCTGTGCAGGCACAAACCCAATTGTGGGAAAGCAATGAAACCATGACAAAGAACTAATTATTATGAAGAACAATTGAAATAACAGTGGGTTTAGCCTAGAGAAGATTGTGAGGGGATATGATTGTTGTTGTATGCCTTCACGGTGTTTCTGACTAACTGTAACTCTAAGGCAAACCTATCACAGGGGTTTCTGAGGCTGAGTGTGTGTGACTTGCCCAAGGTCACTCCGTGTGTTTCTATGGCTGAGAGGGTATTTGAACCCTGGTCTCCAGAGTCCTAGTCCAGCGCACAAACCACTACGCCATGCTGGCTCTTAGGGATTATGATAGTCATCTTTAAATATTTCAAGGGCTAACATTTGGAAGACAGGACAAACTTGTTCTCTCCTGCCCCAGAAAACAAATAAATTGATTTAAATTACAGGAAAGAAGTTTTTGACTAAATAGTTTAAAGAACTTTCTGGTATTAAAAGCTGTTGCCCATGCAAAAGATTACTTTGGAAGATGGAGGACTTTTCTTTACTGCAGGTATTTAGACAGAGGTTAGAGGGCCACTTTTCAGGGACGCTTTAGTTGTGGATTCCTGCACCGAGAAAGAGTTGGACTAGATGTTCTTTGTGGTACTTTCAATTTCTTGTGATGTAATAATGTTATTAATCTATGTTTACATTATCAACCTCACCACCCTCTGTCAAGAACTGAAATATCTGTAGTCAACCAATCTGCTTGCATATAGAGGTATTAGCTTTATAATGATGAAACCCTTAATTCCCTTCTCTTGAAGTCTCCACCCAACCACCTTTAACAGAAAATGTGGTCCTACAGAACTGTGTTTTCTTCTTCATCCAGTTCCCATTCCATTTCTTTCTCTCTTTCCTTTTCATATATGTTAAGCTGTTGTTGTTATCTTCTTCTTCTTCTTCTTCTTCTGGCACTTCTATGCCTACTGCCTGAATTGTTTTAGAACCATGATGACCATCTTTTTTATACTCTTCTGTTAGATTTTCTTAATAACATTTTTGCACATGCCCTACCACCTTTCCATTAGTCTATAACCATAAGCTAATGGGAGGAAACATAAGTTTCTTTAATAGACCTGTTCCTTTTTAGAAAATTCTACTGTCCTGTATAAAAATAACTGGATTTAACTGCAGATCCACTAAAACACGGGTAGGCAACCTTTCCCCTTTAAGGGCCGAGGGACTTCAGCTCCCAGAATCCCAGGAGCTATTGGCCAACATGGGACTATTGGCCAACATGGCTGAGGCTTCTGGGAGTTGAAGTCCCTCAGCCCTTAAAGGGGAAAGGTTGGCTACCCCTGCACTAAAACCTGGAACAATTTCTTATGTAGTAAATAAGTGCTATGCTGACTTAGGGCATGTTTCCAACTATAGGTTTTGCATGACAACCTTTTCAGCCTTTCACAGACAATAATATATTACACAATGCACTCAGATTTATTTATTTATTTATACCATAATTAAATAATTTTCTTCTCAGGGCTTATGAATTCTTCCCAGAATTAACTTGTTTGCCTCTACTTCAGAGAATTAGAATCTGAACTAAGGTACAAATGACAAAAAGGTGAAAATTTGAATAGAACATCAGAAGAATCTCCTAACAGTTCAAAGTGCTTATAGTGGAACAGACCACTTTTAACAAGCTAATAGGTTCTTCTTCAATGTATTTTCTTAAGCAGTAGTTGGATGATCACCTATAGGGTTTCTGTAGCAGTGGACTTCCTACATTGGCGGAGAGTTCAGCAACATTCATTCTGAAGTCCCTTCCAACTTTATGACTCTAAAGTTCCTACAAAGTTCCATACATTGTAGGAATCACTTGGGTATTAAGCAAACCTCTTACATCATACTCTTGTTTCATGACACAGCACCATGGAAGAAGAGTGTAGACACAGAGCTGTCATCATCACTGGGAGCTCTGCAGCTGCTATTAACATCCAAGTGGTTCTGGTTTGAAGTAAACAACATTAATTTTCTTTTAGAAAAGGAGGCCATGCACATTGCCTATGTAATTCAGAATGGATCTCTCCCTCCCTTTAGATGCAAAATATGTCTACAAAACATCTGTATTCTTTAGCTAGCCATAATAAAACAATGAACTATTTTAATAATCCACCACCCCGAGACCAATTTTAAATGTCACAACTGTAAAAAAACATCATTAATCAAATTTTTAAAAGTCTAACATCTATCTAGTACATAATTGTGATTCAAAACTTCTCTGATCTAAACCCTGTAAAATCCTACCGTTAACATGTTGGCTTAGGGGTTGGTCATGTACCAGCTTCTCTATTACCTTTTATTTTCCACCACAGAAAACAACCCAGAAACTAACTTCCTCAATAATATCAATTATAAACAATAAGAGGCATTATTTAAATACTAGAACCTCTTTCACTCTAATCTTAAACACAAGACACTATAAATGAGACTCCACTGGTGAGTTGTGGGATGTACTCATCACAATATAATGGTCAGAGGACAGACATATTCTGGATGTGGTGAGAGTACATGCTGTTTTTTTCTCACTGAACTAAAAGTGCATAATTTACTAAATACCAATTTGCCAGCACATGCTACAGGATTTGCTGGTACCACTATACAACACTGCAACATGAAGTCATTCAGGATCTGTTTCAAATTTTGTTGTGAACAAAGAAAAAAATATTTTTCAAGATTTCCGGTTTAATCATTAGTTTAAGTTCCTTGTTCTTTTCAGATCTTTCCCCCACATCTTCTAACAGCCCCCTTCCATACTGATTGTGACATTCAGTGCTCAAATTGGAGTGGCTCCCCATTGGATCCTACCCTGCTCTCACTTTTTAAGGGTAGCATTTATTAGTTTCTGATTAAGACATTTATAAAAGAGCAATATTTTAACCAAACTCTGGAGGAATCAGAAGTTGGGCCCACTATCTTATCTTTCCCCATCCAAGAATTTGAGCCCAGAAAAGGAAATAGGAACAAACTAAGAATTATGAATGCAACAGTACAACGGCTTGTACTGAAAGATAAAGAAAATTACTACAATGACCAATGCAGAGAAAGAGAAGACAACAACAAAAAGGAAAGAACAAGAGATCTATTTCACAAGATCCGGGAAATCAAAGGAAAATTCAACCCAAGGACTGGGATGATCTATGACCAAAAAACAAAAACAAAACAAAACACATAATTCAAGACCAGGAAGGAATAAAAAGATGTTGGATGCAATACACCGAAGAATTATACAAAAAAGGCGACAAAATGAAGGACACGTGGAATGAAGAGCCATATGAAGATGAACCC